AGATTGGTTAGCAGTATGCTTTTCGCAATACACTTTAAGATCTTTAATGGCCAGAGAACAATTACTAATTACGAAAACAATTGTTAATGCTGTACGGTGGTTGATAGGCCATCTAAAGCAGGGGTGCGAAACCTTTCGGAAAGAGCAAGGCAGAATGTTTTGCAGTGTCTCGGCAAATGGCCACGATATCAAATGTATTCTATTAAAATGACTTCAGACCGCACAAAGCAGAAGACAGTTCTGGTCTTGAAGTTTAAAGAAAAAACGAAGAATTTGATGTTATATTATTTAAACAAAGTTCCTTATTTTACTGCGGGAATAACAGGAAGACAACACAATCAACAAAAAAATGCAAATTCCTTACTACAAAAAATACAGTTAGAAACAGTAAATTCTTTAAAGAGGTACGTGCTTCTGCTTATTTTTCGATAACTTCTCGACATCAGGTGAAATATTTGTCGATGACAGGAGGTAAAACATCATCTTGTTCTTAAACGTCTTTTAGTAGATTTCATTTTCGAAAAAAAAGTTGTTTACAAGCATATGTACTTTCCACATAATGATGACACCATTTTTGCATTATTCAATAGGCTTTTATATTTTCCGCTTGGCAAAATATATTTCTTGTAGAAGTCTACTGTGGTTCCGTAGTTAAATTTTGATTTCAAAACATCGTCGCCTTGTGAATCAATTAACTCCAACAGATATTTTTCTGCCACTTGCTCCACGAATTAATTAGATAATTAGTGTCCATGTGACAGGTTAGCAGGCCGGACAAAAATGCTTCGCGGGCCGTGTGTTGCCGATCCCTGGTCTAAAGTATTATATTGATATCAGTTTTCCAAATGTTGAACATTTATCTTCGTCCACAAGAAACATTTTTGTTTCACGTGAAGTATGGGTGGGAGCTCCTGTGATACTGATTAATGTCCGCATTTTCGTATTTAGCAGAAGATTAGACCCTAGTAAACTGATATATTTTTAGCTGTCTAGGTTTCCATAGTTTTTTACCAATTTTCTTCACTTTTCACTTTCGATGCAACCCGAATCATTACGTGTCAACCAATAAATTTTACCGCCCTTATGATGTATGTTGAATTGTTTCTTTCTCCAGTTTTTTTTTTTATGTTGTATCATACCTACGGACGATAATGGGTATGTCCCCCATGCACACAAATACAGTAGTAAATATTGTATGTTGGTCTGTAGTTCGAGATACATCTGAAACTGTGCTGGTCAAACTCTTTACTTCCAAAGAGGATTCCCAGACGAGGCTATGACGAAGGGCAGAGTCTCGTCTCGGGAAACAGCTAACCGACTCCGTTTTATCCGGTGTCTACGGGGAATTTTTGGCCGAGCCTACGGACTCGGATACCCCACCATAAACTCGGCGTTGTGCCACATCCGACCGCGTGGGGCGGTTGATAAATACCCTGCAGTTAGAAATTCGTCTCCAGCTATGCTGGGGAAACTCTCTTCCTCCCGGCAGAGATGATCCTCAGACGAGGCTAAGTCGAAAGGCAGAGTCTGGTCTAGGGTAACCAGCTACCAGACCCAACTTTATACGAGATTTACGGGGAATTTTTGGTCTAGCCTACGGCCTCGGATACCCTACATTAAATTCGGCCTTTCGCCACATCTGACCGCGTAGGGAGGTTGGTAGATATCCTGCAGTTGGAGATTCATTGTGGAATTCATTTGACTCACTTCTAGCAGTTGACTATTCTTCTACGCGCCGCTGGCGAATCTTATATGCGTTGTTCTTGTCCTAAGTTTTATTGTTCATTACCAACCTTTGTATGATTATTCTATTAAGTAACCTTCCCTAGGTTACATCTTACAAATTCTCTTGCATTAGAATGTAACTCTATCATCACTAAAACTCATTTTTTTGCCACTTTCCAGCATATGGATGCCATGCATGGCGCCAAATTCGGCGCCTTTTTGGTCTCATGTTTTTCACTGACCTGAGGTGGAACAACGGAATTGAATTACTAGCTGCATCTACTGCAAGGAAAGTTGGTTCTCTGTGTCGCACCAGAAGGTTTTTCTGGTCCAATCTCCACAGCCTAGACATCTACAAATCTACCATTCGTCCATGCATTGAATACTATTGCCATATATGGTCTGCTACCCACGCTGTTCATCTCAAGGTTCTCGACAAAATCCAAAGACGGATATGCAATGTAACAGGTCCTGACCTGGCATCTCGACTAGAGTCACTTTCTCACAGACGTGATGTGGCTTCCCTCTGTCTTTTCTACACATATTTTCATGCAACTACTCTGAGGAGCTATTTTCACTGGTGGCCCGACTGCATGAATTTAAGCGTGCTACTAGGTTGGCATCTCGGTCCCACCCGTTCACTGTCGAAACAGTTAAATATAACCGCCACTTCTACTCCAACAGATTCTTCTCTCGCACTTCCCGACAGTGGAACTCCCTTCCTCTTAATTGCTTTCCTGATAATTATAATCTTCAAAAATTTAAATGTAATGTCAATCGACATCTTCTTTTACCTTGATCCCTGTTCTTCTTCATATCCTCCCCCGTTCTTCTTTATATCCTTAACCCCCCTTATATCCCTTACTTACACTCTCTGTAGTCCCTTGTGTACTAGCGGCACTCCCGCCTTGCTTCGGGTGAAATGCTTTAAAAAATGCTATCGCTCACATGCCTAAAAGAGAGTTTGCTGCTTAAACACACACACACACACACACACACACATATATATATATATATATATATATATATATATATATATATTAACTGGTTGAAAATGTTTTTGCTACACAGTAATAACCATGTTTCAAAAATGGAAGCTAAAACTTCAAATTTAATTTTGTAATTAAATTAAAAACATTAGTTCCATGAGAAACTATATATTACTAAGTTTATAAAAAATAAAATTTTACTGAATCAGAGAAATGAAATAGCTATTTTTTGCCGTCATTGTCAAAAACTTTCCTTAAATAATATTTTAAAATAAAATCAAAAAAATGTGAGCTGGTAATATACATATAGTTGATATGAAAAAATAATTTTATATAATGTAAGTAATTCCATTACATTTACTTGTTTTAAAAAGAAATATAGTCTATTAATAATTAAGAGTAAAAATATTTTAAAATCGTAGTTAAATAAAACGTATTCTAACGTAAACATCCAAAAAAAATCTTTAAGTTTACAAGTAGAAAAAAATGCCGAAAGAATTTTGCCGTTAACAATAAAATTAAAAACAAAAACAAAAAAAAAACAGACGGCATGCATTTAACGGATGTCATAATTCGTTGAAAAATACATCCCCACCCTCCCTAAACTTAACCCCTTTTTCGAACGTAACTAATAACTGATACAACAAAAGTTAATAAAAATGAACACGCTACCACTCCTTGTCTTAATGATTGGATCTCTCTGTATCCTTGGAAACAGTGAATTATGAATTTTTGTGTGCATTTAAAACTCAGTAAGTTTAAAAAATAAGTTACTCCAATATTCGCTTGAAGATGAAATGGAACTAATGTTTTTAATTTAATTACAAAATTAAAAGTATTTAGCTTCCATTTTTGAAACCTGGTTATTACTGTGTAGCGAAAAAACTATATTTTAAACCAGTTACTTTATAATATTTATGCTCTGTGAATTTACATTGAACACTGTTTTGTAAAAATAAAAGTATCAATAAGAACACCGGGTTATATATCTTACTGTTCTTTATATATATATATCTATATATATATATATATATATTAAAAAATCCAGACGACATGCATTTAACGGATGTTAGATTTCATTGAAAAATACATTCCTACCCCCTACCAAAACGTAACTAATAACTGATACATCAAAATACAGCGATAATGAACACGCAGACACCCCTTGTCTAGTGGAAGTGAATTTATCTGTAACCTTGGAAACGTGAATTAGGATTTTTGCTGTGTCTTTAAAACACAGTAATTTTAAAAGTTAATCCAAAATTCGCTTGAGGATGAAATGGAACTAATGTCTTTAATTTAGTTACAAAATTAAATTCGGGGCTTTTAGCTTCCATTTTTGAAACATGGTTAGAATTGTGTAGCGAAAAAACATATTTTAAATCAATTAATATATATATATATATATATATATATATATATATATATATATATATAGTAGTTAGTTAGTTAGTTAGTTGGTTAATAAAACTATTTTGTAATCCGTATGGATAATTCCAAAGAGGATGTAACCTAGAGAGCTCAATGTAAAAACAGAGCAAATATTAATTATATTAACAAACAGAGAACTTCTTATAATTTCTTTCTTTAGGACCAGGATTTTGGTCCTAATTCCCGACAGGGAAACTTCCTTCCTCTTATTTGCTTCCCTGATACCTATAATCTTCAAATATTCAAATGTAATGCCAATCGACATCTTCTGATGCCTTGATCTTGATCCCCGGTCTTCTCTTTATCCTTTCCTCAAACACCCCTCTTTAATCTTACTCTTTGTAACCCCTTACATGCTAGTGGCACTCCGATCTTGCTTGGAGTGAAATGCTTAAAAAGAAATTCGTTCAGAAATATCTAAACTGACAACTCTATACAGCCGCTTTCTAAAATCAGTGGTTAAAAATGTTTGAGAGAGTGTATCCCGAGGGTCGTGGCAAAGGTCATCCTTCTTTGAACCTTGTGGACTGGCGCTACATAATCACAGACAAAGAACTGTAGCAAGTAACAGAAAGCACATCACTCGAGGACTTCCAACAGCAGCAAAAACTAAAATGGATAGCACATGTAAATCGAAGAGAAAATAATAATAATAATCAAGACGTTGATATTCCACATTAATTCAAACAAAAGGTTAGGAAGGAAATTCCCACCAATACTGAAAAGAGCGATAACACCTACTGGACTTTAAAACACTTTTTCCTGAAAAAAATGTTTGAACTGAAAAATTTTATAAATTTCAACCGAAAGCAGTATTGCCTGCTCGGTTAATGAATTCCAAATGTTTCCTTATAGGGAAACGGCTAATATTACCATTATTATTAATATCTATCTATCTATCTATCTATCTATCTATCTATCTTAGTTTACTCATTATCTATCTATTTGTCTATCTGTTTTCGATAGATTGGTAATGGGCAGACTATCTATCTATCTATCTATCTATCTATCTATCTTTGTTTACGCATTATTTATCTATTTGTCTGTCTGTTTTAGATTGGTAATGGGCAGACTATCTATCTATCTATCTATCTATCTATCTATCTATCTATCTATCTATCTATCTATCTATCTATCTGAGCCTGCTCATTACCGCTCTATCTATCTATCTATCTATCTATCTATCTGTCTATCTATCTATCTTAGTTTACTCATTATCTGTCTGTTTTAGATAGATTGGTAATTGGCAGACTATCTATCTATCTATCTATCTATCTTTCACGATACCAGCTAGTGGCCATGAGAAACGGCATTGGCTGCTGAGTCGATGAATGCCAAATGTTTCCTTAGAAGAAAATGACTAATATTAGCATTGCGTTTACCAATGTTCTTATATTTGGAATTATTAATGTGTAGAGGGGGAGATATATGTGTAAACGTCAGTAATAATTATGACCCAATGAGAAACGTTGCAGATGTAGAGACGTTAAATTTAAGTTTTTTTTTTAATTTCTGGAGTCTGACATGGCGGACATCTCAGCCAATCAGAATCGGTTAGAAATTTTTAAAATTATCTTTCCTACTGTGTTTACATTCAGTATTTCCTCCTCAGTGAATAATTATAACTGACGCTTATCCTTAAACGATGTAGTAATGTATAGCGGCTCGGATTGAGGAATCGGAGAGCCGAGTTCGAATTCCAGTCGAATCCATAACATTCACTTACGTGCTAATACCCTTGGGAAAGGTATGAATTCAACTCTTCTATTCCCAGCTATACGTAAATAGCAGACTGGGTTATATAGATCCAAAATCAGGTACAGACAAAAATTGTAACAAAATCCTTGACAGAGATAAGAAAAAAATTACTTATGTCTAGGGATATCGTCTAGTTTTTATTGCTAAATAAAATAAAAAATAAACGATATATCCGTAGACATGAGGTTTGAGCCGAGAAGTGTCTAACCCCGTAGATTAAATAAAGGGTACATTTTGGAATTCTCCGTAGGTTACTGTTATATACGGTACCTATGAACACCAATGGGTATGTCCCAATCCTCATAAATACGTATTATAAGTGGGGGCAATATGCTGCCTAAGCTGCCAGAGTGAGCTGTCTGCGTGGGAACCTCTTGCCGTGTCGAAATCTCTGCCTTTGATCAGAGAGGAACCCGGACGAGGGGCAGAGTCTCGTTCGGGAAGGTAGACAGACACCCGATCACGCGTATGCTTGGTCTACGGGCAATTTTTGCCCGAGCACACGGGTTTGGATTTCCCCATATTTAGTTTGGCCTTGTGCTGCCTCCTACCTCATGGGGAGGCAGGTAAATATCGTAATATGCTGCCTAAGCTGGCAGCGTGAGCTGTCAGCGTGGGAAGCTCTTGCCGAGTCGAACTCTTTGCCATTGGGTAGAGAGGAACCCGGACGAGGCTTTGCCGAAGTGCAGAGTCTCGTCCGGGGAGGTAGACAGATACCCGATCCCGCGTATGCGGGGGTCTACGTTCAATTTTTGCCCGAAATTTTGCCGAGCCTTCACTCTTTCCTGTGAGTGTCAGATTTTCCAAGCTCACTTTCCTGTGAACTAGAAATTTCAACTCTCTTTTGCTGATATTAAGTATAAGGTTCCTTTTTGTTTAATTTTCTCTAAAACCTCCTCATTGCTCAAATGTTCAGACCATGGAATTTTCAGCATCCTCCTGTAGAACCACATTTCTGTTGCTTCAAGTCTCCTCTTCATCTTTGAAGAGGAGGCGTTTGTCATAACTGTCTAACCAATGAAACGGCTTAAAGAAACAAAAAAAAAACAAGAAAAAAAAACACACATTAAAAATATCATCTGTACACTTGAGTGAATGGATAGCGAACATGGTTTAAGAGAAATAACAGAAAGACAAAATTTATTAGGAGCTACAAGAGACTGGAAGTTGGGGAGAGCCATGATCGTTTAATTTCTTTTTTAAATATTTTTAAGTACGTGAACAATGACAAAGAAACTATAAACACTGTATATCTTTGCATCAGAATTTCTGCAAACAGTGCATTTGCGGAAATGCATGATGCAACAGAGTTTAGGAGAAATGTACAATGTACGCTCTGCATCTGGACATTGTACGATACGACAGATAAATGGCGGGGAAGATCTAGGGATAATCTGCAGTCCATACGAGATCAGGAAAGTCTACAAAGGCGTACAAACAAAGATTTGAAGATAATCTCCAAAATCAGTCTATACGAGGATTAAATCTAATCATAAAAAAGCAACTAAAGAATTACCGAGGAATTATAAAAGCAACGAACAAAGGTCAACGCTATGATATTGCAGATCATCTCGGTTTTTCTTAAGATCAGATTAGTATTGTATAAGGGCCGAAATGGAGAGAAATGTGCCGGGGTGGATGTGGGTAGGGAATAGGAAGAAGGTGTTCCATCGATTTTCCTTGTGGCAAAGGCTAGACTGATTTGATTGGATTTAAAAATCAGTATTTATAATCACGAGTGAATCATTTCTTTCGGTTTTTCATTCTTTGTGGCCTTCAGCTCATTGCTTTTGTATCGGATTTTCTCTTTTTTTTTTCTTACTTTCATTCTTTCTTATCTAAAGTTCCTTGCGATTTTCATTTCTTCTTTCTTTCTTTTTTAATCTACTTTCTTTCTTTTTTGTCTAAACTTCAGCTCATTGTTCCTTTCTTTCTTTCTTTTTTCTTTCCCTCTTTCTTTTTTAATCTCCTTTCTTGGTTCTTGCTTTCTTTCGTTCTTGCTTTTTTTTTTCAATCTGCGTTATTTATTTCTTTCCTAATCAAATTTGTTTATTTCTTTTTAAATCTGCTTTTTTCTTTTTTTCTAATCTTCGGCTCGTTGTCCCTTTCTTTCTTTTATTCTTTGCCGCTTTCTTTCTTTTTATCTCTTTTCTCTCTTCTATTCTTCAGTTCTTTGTTTTTTCGTTCTTTCTTTCCTTCTTCCTTTCTTTCTTTCTTATCTTCTTTCTTTCTTTCTTTCTTTCTTTCTTTCTTTCTTAATCTGCCTTCTTTCTTTCTTTTCTAATCGAATTTGCTTATTGCCTTTTTTAATCTTTTTTTTCTTTCTTCTAATCTTCGGCTCGATTTCCTTTTCTATCTTTGTTTTATTCTTTCCCTTTTTTTATTATTTACTAGCAGTAGAACCCGGCGTTGCTCGGGGATGTAACAGTAAGAGAAAGATCAAGTATCGACCATCATAAAGACTGAAAAATAAAATTCACAAAGATTATTGTTTAAGGTTGATGGACACGCATGTCTTAATTAGTTTTTTTTTGTTTTTGTTTTTTTACGAATTGGTCAAACCCAAACTCTTGTTTTCAATCGTTATGAGACTACCGATTGAATAGAATTTTATTATAAACAAATGTCTTGTAAATGGAATTTTTAAAGCATTCTGAATGTAAAAATAAAGAAAAAAGTGTGCAAGACAATAAGAAACACTACCTGCCAAAAAAAACAAGTGAAGTTTTGTTGAAAACGGTTGAAAAATGTAGGAAATCCGATCCCATATATAAACGAACACAGACACACACACAAAAATAACTTGGGTTTTATAATAAGTTTAACTTGATATGAGTTGTCCCCCTTTCATTCTCGCGACAGCGATGCCTCTTAATCGTGTTTTCAAATTGATTTCGTGCAAAAACAATTGTGTTTTTCCAATTTTTAGCACTGTCAGAACTACTGCAAGGCAATTTTACATAGTCCTGTGAAGTTTTGTTGAAATCGGTTGAAAAATGTAGGAAATCCGATCCAATATATAAACGAAACAGACACACACACACACACACACACACACACACACACACAACCTGGGTTTTATAATAAGTATGATTCTAATCCTCAGTTCTTTGTCTTTCTTTCGATCTTTCTTTTTAATCTGCTTTCTTTTTTTCTAATCGTCAGCTAGATGCCCATTTCTTTCGTTCTTCATTTTTTTAATCTTCTGCCTTTCTTTCATTTTTCTTTCTTTCTTTTTTTCTTCGGTATTCCTTTTGTAATCTGCTTTTTCTTTCATTCGTTTAAATCTTCAACCAGAGATGCACCTTTCTTTCTTGTTTGCTTTCTTTCATTCAGCTGCCTTTGGTTAATCTTTTTTTTTTCTTTCGTTCCTTCTTTCTTTCTTCTTTCCTTGTTACCCATTTCTTTCTTTCTTTCTTCATTTTTTAATGTTCTACCTCTATTTTCTTTTTTAATTTTCACCTCGTTGTCCCTTTCTTTCTTTCCTTCTTTCACTCTTTCTTTACTTCTTTCTTTCTTTCCTTCTTTCTTTCACTCTTTCTTTCTTTCTTTTTCCTTTGTTTCTTTCTTTCTTTCTTTCTTTCTTTCTTCTAATCGTCATCTCCTTGCCCTTTTCTTTCCTTATTCTTTTTTAATTATTCTTTCGTTTCCGTATTTCTCTCGTTCTTTTTTATTTTCTTTCGTTCCTTCTCCTAATCTCCGACTCGTTAACCTTTTCTTTCTTTCTTTCTTTCTTTCTTTCTTTCTTTTAATCCCCACCTCATTGAGCTTTTCTTTCTTTCTTTCTTTCTTTCTTTCTTTCTTCTAATCCCCACCTCATTGAGCTTTTCTTTCTTTCTTTCTTTCTTTCTTTCTTTCTTTCTTTCTTTCTTTCTTTCTTCTAATCCCCAGCTCATTGAATTTTTCTTTTTTTTTTTTCTTTCTTTCTTTCTTTCTTTCTTTTTTCTTTTTTCTTTCTTTCTTTCCATCTCCTAATTCCCAGCTCATTGAGTTTTTCTTTCTTTCTTGTGTGTATTGTGTAATCCCATAAAATTGTTACAGGTCCTATCTTTGATTACTTTTGTGTACACGTTTCTTTCAGGGTCTTAACCAGAGACCTAAGATCAGAAATAGCTTCACGACATTTTCCACTGGTCATTTTTGTTAAAGAAACAAAAACTAAGATCACACACATTTTACATAGATAAAGCTCTTCGTAATGTCCGAGCTGTAAAAAAATACAAATAATTGTACTTACAAGGAGTACATTTTTTTTTGTATTTCTTTAAGACATGGGCTACCAGGAAACTGTTCCATGAGCCTATCGGAATTTTTCCAATCGATCTGAGGGCTCCAATTACAACTGCAAATATTGATGTCCTCATGTGCCACAATTTAGACATTTCCACTTTAAGATACTTGTACTTTTATATATACATACTAGCAGCGTGGCCCAGCGTGGCCCGTGCTTGATTCAAAAATTGTACGACTCATACAGCAATCGCTATCACTTGAATTAAAATATTTTGCCCTTCCTTGCCTTTAAAGGAGTGCCCTTTGCCGTGCTGATGTTGCTACATGCCTTACTTCTTGCCTATCTCACACTACGAATTTTTTCGAAGCTCTATACTAAACATTAAATCTGTTACGAAAAAAGAACTAAACAAAATGAACACAAAACGATCAGCTTTAAAAAAGGAATCGTAACTGGAAAAACCGAATGAAAAAAGAATGTTAACAACAAATACTTTTTCACACCCAACCCAGTTCTGCGGAATCAGAATCAACGTTGAGTTTAAGCAAGCGAATGAGCCAATTGGAGTAAAGTGCCATGCAGATTTAAATTTTTCCCACTTGTGACGAATGCAGCTATCGATATTTTTTTGCATGCTAGCATGCTAGTTAACATTCGGGTCAGTCAGCTGTTGGCTCTCACGCTGGGCAATAGAATCTTCCTGTCTATTCGTGGCAGCCAGCTATAGGTTCTCACTCTGGCTAGTGGAAAATGGCCGCAAACTACATGAAAACTGCCGTGGAAGCATGAAAAAATCGATTATTTCCACTATCGATGGGAGTTGGGAAATTCAAAGTCGGTCTTGGCCTTCCCACTAATTTGGAGCATGTGCATGTAAATTTTGGTGCAAAATTGCGGCCGTGCATTCGTTACACACACATAGTGCCTTTTATAGATAGAGATTCAATGGAAACTCTGTTCTTGTGGCATGGTGTCAAGACGTGCCCTGTGGCTTCCCTCTGTCTCTTCTACAAGTATTTTCACGGTAATTTGTTCCAACGGTCTACTTCCGCTGGTTCCCAGACTGCATGAATTTAAACTAGCTGCCAGGCTGTCACCTCGGTCCCACCCTTTCACTGTCAAAACGGTCAAATGCAACCGTCTCAAACAGCCTTTTCTCTCGCACTTCCCGTCTGTGAAACTCCCTTCCTCTTACTTGCTTCTTCGATAACTATAATCTTCAAATATGCAAGTGTAATGTCAATCGACATCTGATACCTTGATGTTGTTATCCGTCCTTCTCTGTATTCTTTCCTCAAAACGCGCCTCTTTAGTCTTGTTCTCAATCGTCTGCAACCCCTTGCGTGCTAGAGGCACTCCCAGCTTGCTTGGGGTGCATTGCTTAAAAAAAATTAAATTAAATTTAAAAAAAGACCTCAGGATACTAGTATTTTTTAGTCTTTTCAGAATCTTTGCTGTCTACTCTAGTGTCGCATGGAAGAGCAGAATCAATAATTTGACACTTACTAATTTCCTTACTAACCAAAATATGGTCGGGTCTATGGATATCAATGGGATTATCCGTCTAAACTGAGATATCCCATAATACCTTGCGACTGCAATTTTCTACCATTTTTTGTCATTAGTTTATTATTATTATTAGTAGTAGTAGTAGTTGTATTACGTTTATCTTCAATTATAAAATGAAATGATGAACGCTGCCCTTTTTAAGCAAATGAAGTGTGCATCGGTGCGTGTTAAGCCTCGCATCGACAGTTACTTGGCTTTCGGCGAAATATATCCTCGTGACTTTTAAATTCGTGAGTCTACCTGTCAGGTCTTACTAAACGTCCTGCTATTGTAAGTCCCCTGAATAATCATTAGTACAAAATTAGTGCAAGTGTGGAGTATAATGATTGTTTCGCTGTATCACAGCTCTTCAGTGTGGTTAGACGCCCGGTTGCCTCTAGCTAGGATCGAAACCCGGCTGAATTGGCATCAGTTGAAGATTCTACCACTAAGCCGTCGGCACACCTGCCGAAGGTGAATTTTAATTTATTTTTAGATAAACACACAGTGACTGAGAGGACTCGATTCGCTTTACCGAAGACTCTTGCTATGTTGTATGACTTAGAATCATAGATCCAATATAAATCACATATCAGTCAGATGGTTGTCTTTGTGGCTATACTTTTGAAGATAGGGTGTCCAATGCCAATCTTTCTGCAAAATCCAACATTGCAGGTCATGTTGCAAAGATGTCTGTCGACAGAACACCTAAGGTCTTCATGTATCTTCAGCTTAACAGTGGACAAGTAACTATCATTTTCTGCTACTGCATTTGACTGATATGCATACTTGTTTTGACATTGAAGCCAAATTTACGGCATACTGTTTATTTAATTTAATTTTATTTTATTTTATTTTATTTATTTATTTATTTATTTTATTTATTTTTATTTATTTATTTATTTTTTTTTTTGATAAGATAATAATGCCATTAAATTGCAAGAGGAGTCTGGGAGTGAAAGTAAACGGGAAAACGTTAGTAAGGAGAAAGGACAATAAAAGCATAGTGTTCAAGAAAACAGAAGATGACGATTGACGTAGCATTTAAAATGTTGAAGATTTTAAGTGGCAGGAAAGCAAGAAACCGGAAGGGAGTTCCCCGAGTGAGAAGTGCGAGAAAAGGAACTATTAGAACAGAACTTCATCTAGAAGAATTCTGTCTTTTTCAACATTAAAACGGTGAGACCTTATTTCGTGATGTCAACGAACACTCGTTATCACTTTTGTGATGCCAACGAATACTCGTTGTCACTTTCGTAAATGCTCGTTGTAGTAGAGACTTTGTAATCGCAGTTACAACTATAGTAACGCCGTTGAACAATACTGGTGTCAGATGCCTTCGAATTGCAATCGCACTAATAGTACTTGCTCGATAATACTCGCTCGAATAGTAATCTGTATAGTGACCCGAATAGAGAAATAGTATAGTGAATAGAGTAGAGAATAGCGTTTCGTACAGCATAGAGGATAGACTAGAAATAACGAACCGAATCGTAATAGAATAGAAATGCGATCCATTAGACACACGGTACCTCCCATATATGCGTTTCCTCTATGGTCACGTGGTCTACTTAATTCAATAATGGGGTCGCCTGTGTTTGCTCACCGGCGATCTATGTTCAAACTCAAGTGTCGGCAGCGACACTTTATTCCTATATAAAACCGAGTTGCCAATCTAGAAGTACGTTTCAATTCATGCTGTCGAAGAAACAAGGAAGATGGCTCATTAGAGCAAGTGCCATGAAAATATTTGTAAAAAAAGACAGAAGGAAATCAGGTTACGGGGATGGGAAAGTATCTGATGACGGGATGCCAGATCAGGACCGATAATATTACAATAATTTTTTTTTTTTGTATCAATTGACTTAACACAAAGAGTTACGAGTTCAATACCTGGGTACGGCAGTGGTGAAAAAAAAAACAAAAAAAAACTAGGAGTGTTGAGTTAAAGGGAAATATCCGAGAGATCCGGAAGAGGCACGGCACGTGGAACGAGAACAGTCTACCGCGGTCGATGAAGTAAAGGTTTCAGTTCGAAAATTCCAACAGCTGAAGAAGGCCGGAGCGTACAACAGCCGAGAGGTCGTGAACATGACACTAAAGATGAAGACAACAGTCCGAACAATGTAAACAATGTAAATAATTGCAATACCCAATCTCAGAAATATAGGCATATCCTGAAGAAGGCAGTAAAACACCCGAAACGTCGTGAATATGACAATAAAGATGAGAATAACAGTTAAAACAATGTAAATAATACAAACTATTACAATACCTCATCACAGAAAGATAGATAAAAATATTACATTTAATATGAAATATACACGATTTTATGGTGACTATAAAAGGCCTGCACATTTCGGCTTATAATCTTTTCCTATTAACCAAGGATTGTTGCTATATTAATATAGAAATTAGCCTCGTAACAATGCAGTTTATTTCACTTCCACTCAAATTGTGTGTACGTACGGTTTGGCGTGTGCATGTATATTTTTTGTTCAATGTAATTTCTTAAATTATTTTTATACAAATAAAAAATGTTAAAAGAAGCCTTAAAAAGTAATTTTATCTATTACTAGATAATTTCTGAAAAGTTCAATAAAACCATAATTACCTGATTTGCTAAATTTTTAAAATTGGATTTATTTTTATCAGCACTTTTCTTATTTTATTGACCAACCGAGAAAAACATTGTCTAGACTGAGTGGGAGAAAAAAACTATTATTCTATTCTTAATTCAAACTCAGTCAAATTCTTTGTAGGTGTGTGTGTGTGTGTTGTGTATAAGTCACTCACGCACAATACAGACATATAAATGTACATTACCCACGCAAAGTTACACACACAAACACAGAAACAAACAAACATTGAATGTGCGCGTGACAAACAAAGCGGTTTTTCTTTTATAATTTAGATTCAATCGAAGTACCCGTGAAAATTTCCCGGCTTTCTTATTTGAATTTTCTGACAAATCTTAATTATTAAGTTAATAACTGAGTAAGCTCATTGCGAGTTCTATGACAATAAAATATCCATAGTAATTCCCCCATTGCATAGTTAAATATTTGAGCTTAACAACTTTAACAAAGTCATTAATGTGAACGCCGGACGTTATTTTAATAAGTAAGACGGTACAACTGGAAAGATCTGAAATTGATAACATTTTCCATTTTACTGAAAAAACGATAACGAC